TTCAACAATACAATTCAAACGTATATCGCGAATCTGAATAATTACTAGCGATATTGTTTGTTATACAATTAATTGACGTGTTAGTTATTTATTTAGGCAGAATCATTCTATTTTTTAGAGCCAATATGTTCACATTCATAATTTTGTGGGGTCAAAAGTGATCAAAATTGTGACACAATACATTTTATTATACAGATTAAGCGTCAAATAGTCAGAATTTAGATTATGAATGTGATAGAAATCATATGTTGCAATTATATTGTGTGCAATATAATTATTTTAAGCGAATTTTGATGTATATTACTCCTTTTGTAACTCTTTAGCAAGCTCTTTAGCACTGAAAATAAGTTGTAATTACTTGTTCTGCAACAATTCATGTCTGTCGAGTACGAATTAATTGAAAAATGTGCGGTAACTCGTTCCTCTTGTTTCATAATGAAATATCACAACCCAGTGTTTAAACTTATAATGCAAAAATTAAAGGAAAAGCATGCAATGATGGACGATACCCGCGAAACACCTGTTTCAACGGAAATATTTGGTCCGTGGAGAGAATGCTATAGTAGACTAGAACTAGGGGATTATAATTAAATTATGCGAAACTCACTCTGGTTCGCAAATTGTGACAACCGTCGCTTCTTTTTAGACAACGACAAAACCTACCCAGAGTGCGGTCCAATTGGGTGAGTTCAGGACAATTTGCAAAGAGAAATGACTGCATATTTAAGTGTAATTGAATTTTCTATTTTCTACATTGCCTCATTTCACTGGCCACTGGTGGATGTTTGCATTATTTCACAAACAGGCCAATACATGCTATTGAATTTGCCGACCACAGCAAACTTATGGGTACATGAGTTGATATAGTAATTGTGTAAATTGCAACTATACAGATACTACAGAATCACAGTGTTTGTAAATTGTTGCCAAAAGCTCTTCAACAAATTAACAAATTGGGTTCAGCTCGGTGAATGGTGAATAGTTATATTTTCAAGAGATGCCGAGGAAGCCCTCTGATCTCTCGAGTTCCCTGAGTGTATTTTAAAAGTTTCCCCTGGCAAATCGGGAGAAAACGAGGAAAAGGCGAAAATTGTATGTTGTACATTAAAAGTTTTTCACCCCGGTTCGGGGTGAGCTGGGATCTCTTCTCATTCCCGCCCCCTGCAGCCCCGGAGATTATTTTTGTATGTCCCATGCATATCGCATAATTTCCCAGACAATTTAATCACTCCTGATATTCGGTCCAGTCGCTCGGCAGGGGATGATGTTGCAAAATGAAATGATTCTTGATTGGTTGGCTGTTTTGCATGCGGATTTAGTTTGTTACTGCTGCTGGGAGCTTGTTTAGTGCTTAATCCTCGAGAGTGGGTGCTCTGGGAGAGAGACGATATATAACTTTTTGGTTGTACCCAGGTTGATCTGAATTCACATCGCTTAGTATTATAAACCAAAATCCGCTAAAATCTGGCACGTCCTCCACCGTCATTTCGCTCATGCTCGCACGTCGGTTTTGCACGCCTCCGAAGGGACTCTAAACACTATAACGCGAGCATTCCATCATGAGGGGCGCAACTTAACCTGTAATATGCACTTTCTCACCCCACACAACACAACACACACACACAGAGTTTGCAATAAGCTTTAATCTAGGCTAATTGGCTCAAGTTCCTGAGATCTCCATTTGCAAGATGAGAAAGATGATATATGGGAAAACAATTCCCAGCCGCCAGCCAGAGAGCGTTGTGCAACTGCAATTTATTTCTTCTGAAGTGAGACGTGATAATATCCAAATTTAATTACCCGCTTTCCAGGCGCTCGTTTGTATGATTAATAAATGTACATATTACATTTCATCAACAATAAATTTAGTTAAATTGTCATTCTCACTTTGTTATTTACTCTTTGTGATACTGATAGTACAATATATTCGCAGTTTATTGCCAATTTTACTCACATGTAACAATTCCGCCATTAGTTTACCACCGAATGCCTTGAAGTACTGACATTCATTTGTCTCTTTATTTTATTCTCGACACACAGAGATTTATATACGTATGAAATATATATTTGTTCAAATATAAATTCAATAAATTCCATTTTCAAATACACTGCATGTTGGAAAGCCTAATGAATTTTTTCGGAAAATAATTCCTCTTATGTGTGCCAACGCATCAGAATGGATGAAATTCTATTTCAAAATTTATTTAGCTCAATTACTTCCGCGGAAAAATATTGAATAACAGCGCAATTCGAATCCAAACAATTGTTCCAAAATCACTATTTGTAGTGTGCAATTGATGAAAAGAACAGAAAATTAGGTTTATTCTCATATAGCACTTCCTGTTGAAAACATCATTGGAATTTATTGTGAAATCGCATGAAATTGAGCCTCACGGCAATTTTGTGATTCTCTAATATAATACAACATTGGATTGAATGTGCACTGAAATCGTTTATTGAGCTGCTGTTCGATGAAATATGATGGAATGCAATTTAATGTCTCTTTTGAGCTTCGCCGTTTGTGTTATAACTTAATACATATTTCACGAATATGGAAATAATATCGCGTATAAATTCTTGGAAATACACGCAAAGCACTTCGCTAAAGCATGATTCTGTGAGCCAAAATCAGATGAATAAGATATTTTGTGTACCTTGCTGATTGCTGTGAATGTTGGAATGCATATAATCTCGTTATATTAAGTTTTCCATCATTTGCATACTTCGTTAAATGATTTACGACTCCATTTCGATCCGCAGACATTCGCATTTATATTATTGTTGCTCTAGTTCTCTAGTAAATTAAGCAGTGCAATTCTGGCAAAAATATCTAAGGCTTGTCTAGCTGAAAATATCACTAAACTTTTTGTTATTCAAGCAGTCATTTTTATTGCTTAGAAGTAAGCTTTATTAATGGAATGTGTAGGAATTTCAACTTCTCCCGCAAGCACAATAGGAGAATGTGAAAAATTGAAAATAACCTTTAAACTGTCCACTTTGCATATGAATATCCAATTGAGGAAGTGAATTTTCGGCTGGCCAAACAAAAATGCCCCCCGCCGAAGCCATTAATATCGAGCATTTCCCCACATGATCGCCGCGGTGGTCAACAATGAGAGAGCTTTGCACTTTTTCTGCATTCCACCACGGTATAAATGTGGATTTAGGGGGTTTTCGAGGTGTCCATGCTTGATTTTGCATGCTGTACAGCATCATATGAGAAATGATAGGGCAGCGAAAGACAATCTACATTATTTGCTCGGAAAATCGATAAACAATCCTTTGACGCTGAGCACAAAACAATGAAAGGCGTGAAACCATGTAATTTAGACAGAAAACACACAAGAGAGAATATCGCAATTATTTGCAAAAGTTTAGATTATCTTGCCATCGAAAAGCTGACGAGTGTTTATATATTGTCAACACATATTCCGTCATGATCTGTCCTCACTCCATTAGTGGAATTATTTACCACTTTTCTCACACCCCTTTTCTCACATCCCCGCACAATTCCTGCTCATCCATTTGCGTCCGACTCCACAATGAAATTCCACCAACGGAAGTGGACTCATGAATGAAAAAGTAGTGCATATACATTATACAAAAATGCAAATATGTATACAGAGCATCAATCTAAATTTACGGTTCGTTAAATTTGCTAATTTTGCAGAAAATATTTGCAGATATTTTATATGTTGTTGCCATGCAATTGCATCGAGGGATTTGTGCGCTGACAAAATTGCAAATTCCACCCCGTCTCGTCGGTGGTCTCTTAACACTTTGTCACGCTTGTTGCGAGTCGCGACCATTTGGAATGCAGAAACTCCCCAGATTCACAGAGAGACTTCTCAATTCACTCAAAAGCAACTTCGAAGGATAATTATTTCCAGAGGTCATGAATTTGCCAGTGCAGAAGCCATGAAATCAACCCACGGTTAGTGTTGAGAGTCGATAAAGACCCACATATCAGCGGGAGAGATTGAAAGAGGGAGTTTAGAATAGTTCCATTGAGCGCACCTTTAGTTAAATGCTCCCGGAAGACGGGGAAAGTTTATCGAAGTGCTCAACGGATGGAAATACACTCTGGGATTTTTACATTCGAAAGTCTTTTGTGTGCACTTTGCGCAGCAAATTGAGCCCCCCGGAAAGCCACTTGCGAAAGAAAAGACAAATATTGATTTGATATTGTGGGCTTTGCACGCTCAACAGCTTAAATTCTACATAAAATCTGAATATCAGAAGCACACAATTGAACTTAAGGACACTTCAGCACAATTAATTAATAGCTTGTGATGTGTGTTAATTCCTGCAGACAGAACGGAACATCTTGTAAAGTACTTGAGAAATTATTGTGAGGAAGCTTCTCGGGCGTCTTGGGCGATTGTCTGCAAATGAAAGTCTTGAGTTGAAAGGTTGAGGAACAGTCTCTCCAGTTCTCACACGTTTTCTCAAAACCCACAGCATTTTGTTACTTGAATGGAGAGATTCCTGAATTCTATTACACGTGAACCAGCAAAATTTTCCAGATTGAAAATCTCTCACTTCAGCCTTTTCTACAATTACAAAAAGGATTAAATTGGATTAGATAGCAGGAAAACACATTCAGTAGACGATATTTAACACAATTTCTGGGTTTGTCGTGAGTGAAATCACACAATTTAGATAATTTTTCAATATCCCCACACTTAGTGTATTTTTTATTAATTAAATATTTCAAATTTTTGCCACGGGCGCTTTTGATTTGAATAAATTTTCACAATAGTCAGCATTGCTTCCGGACAAATATTATTTGCTCAAATGACTCAAATAAACAAGCACTTGTTGCAAATTTGACTATTTATTTGTGGTAAAAGGAACTGAATGGAAATTGGCCAAATATTATTTCTGCATACATTAGCAGCGGTTATTATTCAAAACTGCAAGCTTTAGAGCTTTCTTTGCTCCGGCAACACTATTGCGCACATACGGCAACCCTTGGGCATCAGGTCTACTGTCACGCCGGATCAATATTTCCCGCGCTGTCGTTTGACAAGCACAGCAAAGTGAAAAATATTGCTTAAATGTGACTAAATTCGCAAGCAACATGTACGACGATGTGGACAAGTACAGGAAAATAGAGAAAATCGGCGAAGGAACGTACGGAGTAGTTTACAAGGCGAACGACAAGAAGACGGGCAAATTTGTGGCTCTCAAGAAGATTCGTCTCGAAAGGTTTGTTTACGTCACACAAATACTCATTTTCACGCAGCTCTTAGACGTTTTCATAGGGTCTCAGAGTGGGAAGGTATTCTCAGGAATCCTCACCACACTTTGCCAAAGAGAAATAGCATTTCTGCATAGAACTAAGCCGTAATTTATCCTTAACCTTAACCATGTCTATTTCCGGACGCTTTTTCATGTCTGTCCGGAAGTTTTGGAAAGGATATCCAATTTTGCCAGGATTTCTTATTCCAGGGCATCAACCGAAGTTATGTGCTGTGCTTCGTGAGATTTGTAATTCGTAGCACCACATAATTCGGCTTGATTTCCTGGACAATGCAGCAATTCCACGAACATTGTAAGGAATTTGAGATTATTCTTAGGACTTTTAGAAAATCCGTTTCGCGTTTCGTTCTTGTCTCTTCAAGATTATAGTTAGATAAAAGTGTTTTATTTGTACGATTGCTTGAAAGAGCCAATATAAATTTCACTTGTAATCCCAAATTTTCCTCTCAGTGAGACAGACGGCGTGCCTTCGACGGCCATTCGGGAGATTTCCCTGCTGAAGGACCTCAAACATCCCGCCATTGTCAATCTCCACGACGTAATAATAGGCGATGGCAGCATATTTATGGTCTTTGAGTGTCTCAACATGGACCTGAAGAAGATGCTGGAACAGAAAAAGGATCTCCTCACTCCCAAGCTCGTGAAGGTGAGATTAACGTCTCTAATCCACATTTGGACGTTCGCCAGAATGCTTAATGCTGTCTTTCCAGAGCTACATGCATCAAATGCTCGACGCACTCGCCTTCTGCCAGGCGCATCGGATCCTGCACCGAGACCTGAAGCCCCAGAACCTCCTGGTGGACAAGGCGGGTCACATAAAGCTGGCGGATTTCGGCCTGGCGCGCTGCTTCAACATCCCCATGAGTTCTTACACGCACGAAGTCGTCACGCTGTGGTATCGCGCTCCTGAGATCCTTCTGGGCACGAAGCTCTACACCACCGCCGTGGACACGTGGAGTCTGGGCTGCATCTTCGCCGAGATGATCATCAAGCGAGCTCTCTTCCCTGGCGACAGTGAGATTCAGCAGCTGTACAAGATCTTCGAACTGCTGGGCACGCCAAATAACAACACATGGCCAGGAATTGCGCAGATGCCAGAGTACAAGGCCAGCTTCCCGCGCTGGGAGCGACAATCACTCCCGGCAGAGATTATCCGTCAGGGCGCAGATCAGCTGCTTCTGCAACTGCTCGAGTTCGATCCCCACAGACGCATCTCCGCCCAGAATGCCATGCTGGACAGCTACTTCAGTGACATGGAACACGTGAAATTCGTCGATCTGCCCGTGGATTCACCCTAATATACTCGCACACGAATGTTCGATTGCCATACAATTTCATTTTTGTCTGAATGGATTGAATTATTTTGGATTAAAATTGAAACACACGGAAAAAGTCTCTAATTTAGGGCTTCCAGAGCTTCAGAACACCGTCCTCGCCATAGCTGGCCAAGAGATTCTGGTGAGGATGATGAGACAGTCCAATGATGTCTTTCTCGTGAACCTGCATTGGAAAGAATAGTTAAATTTCGTGTCAGCCATGAAATTAGCTATTGTGACTCACATTGAGTGTCCTCTCGAGCTTCCCGGACGTGATGGAGAAGCAGTAGAGAACGAGATCCTCGCCGGCGCAGTAAATGTATTCTCCTCTCGGTGAAATGGTGGCGCAGATGAAAGCGCCTCCTTCGCGCTTTCCGGACGAGAAGGAGCGCACGGTCTGGCCCTGCATGTTCATCAGCACGACGGTGTTGCTGCGATTGCAGACGATGAAGTGTTCGGGATTCTTGGGTAGCAGCAGAACCGTGTGCACGGCCAACTCATTGCCCAGCGCCTTGAATGTCGACACGCACTCGGTCGTCTTGAGGCTCCACACCTTCACAGTGCCATCGCTGGAGGCGCTCAGGAGATTGTGTCCGTCAGCCGTGAAGGCGGCCTCGTTGACGAAGGACGTGTGGCCCTTGAACTCCTTCAGCATCTTGCCCGATTTGAGGCCGTGCAGGCGGATTGTGTGATCGAAGGAGGACGAGAGGATCTGGCTGTTGTCACGCGAGAACTGAAGGCACGTGATGCCTTTGAAGTGAGCCTTCTCGAAGCGCCGCAAGCACTGACCCGTCTGGATCTTCCACACCTTCAGCATGCCGTCTTGGGAGCCCGTGGCCAGCATTTCGCTGTCCCGAGAGAAGGCCATCGCCAGCACGGCGTGCTCCATCAGCATGAACTGCTCTTGCGCCTGATACTTCAGATCTTTCCTCATCTTTCCCGTGGTGAAGTTCCACACCTCAATGAAGCCATCCACACTGCCCGTGACCAAGAACTGTCCATCCGGCGAGAACTGAGCGCACTCCACGTGCGATTTGGAGCCGAATTTGATCTGTCTGGCGAGCTGAGTGGGACACATTTCCTCTTCCTGATCGCGAATGGCGGCCTTGCCTCTGAACAAATCGATCGTGGTGCCCGGCGGAAGCAAGCCCTGGTGCTGCTGCCACTTCAGCGCCTGCCCAAGGAGGGCCAAGAGACGCGACGAGGGCACCACGGACACTTCTCCGCTCAGCTCCTGGGCAATCGCTGCTCTCCTCTTCTCCTTGCTGCTGCCCTCCAAGTACGCCTCCCTGGGATCGAAGTACGCTCGCTGGAGCATGTTCTCCAGATGCATATACCGCTCGGGATTCTGTTGCTTCAGCATTATCATGGGATCCGTCTGCCGCAGAAGCGATCGAGCCGCTCCCAGTTCTCGCAACTCAATCAGCTCCAGCACGATCTGCTCGTACAGATTGATGAGCTTCTTGTCCGGCAGCTTGAGGGACTGGATGGCCTTGAGAACGGTGTCCCAGTGACCATTGTGGATATCTGAAACGAACCCATCAACACTGTCAACGGTGTTCAGGGAAACGCCGGTTTCCTCCTGAAACACAACAGATGGATTAGACGACAGAGTTCGTGGAAGTACAGCATTGGAAATAAGTTGGAACATCTTCTTGCATTACCTGGAGTGTCTGCAGAGTCTTGAGTAAGTTGGATTCCTTCAAATACTGCTGGATGAGGCGAATAACACTGAAGAAGATGTATTTGAGGTTAGGTTTGGTGTTTACCATCACATTTCTACAGAAATACTCACTCCGCCGACTCAATTTCTATAGACATCCTTTGCTGATAGACAGTTTATCCACTTGAGAAACTTATCTAATAATTTTCTCAATATGTTTCAGAGAAAAAGCTACTTTTCCGACAAGAGCACTTTTGTTTGTATTGCAAACGTCAAAACTACCCGACTGACTGCATCTCAATTCCCAGCTGAATACGCAATGCCTTACTAGTACTGAAAATGAGTGAGGAAGTAATTCAAAGCGTAACTGAAATGAAAAAGGCAAAATTCTGTGTTACATACAATTTTATTTCTTTTCTTCATTCGAATTAAACAGTATTTATTTACATATCAAATAAATTCCATATTTTCGTTAACTCGTTACAGTTTTTTTCTTATTACCGTATTTTTTTCACCACATATTTCAATATTAATGGGTATAGAAAACAAAGTTTCACATTTCCTATTAACATCATCATCAATTCTGTTTCCTAATCCTCCCCCCGCGTGTTTTCAACCAATCGCTTTCCTCGTGTTTTCTTCACCTTTTAATCTTTTATATTATGTTTAGTCATTTTTATTATTATTTATTATTATTCATATAACAGTTTAATTTTGATTATAACAAACAACATTAGGAATTTTTATACAAAACGTTGCAACATTTTTTTCTAAGTTTTTTTTATAAGTTTTCTTGTTTCATTATTATTAAATATTATATGTGGATTTTACTTAATCATACTTCTGTTTTTTTATCATACTGAGTTTTTTTTTCATATTATTTCCATTAGTAGTTAGTTTTTTTTTCATTACTAAATGATATTTAGGGGCGACAACTCATGTGTCGTGTTGCATCGCTTCTGCATCAGTGAAGAAAAGACTATCCAGTTTTTGTTTTTTTCTTGAAAAAATTGAAATGTATTTTGTGAATATTTGTGCTTTTATTTTCCCTTTCCTATTTTTTTCTTTTCTTCAATTACTCTTTTTTGGTTGTGAATAAAAATTATTGCGAATAATTTGAGAAGAAGATGAATCTCTCATTGATAATTTCACTGTGAAATTATTGGGTTCACTTTGTGGTTTATATTCTCTTCATTGATTACACAATCCATAAATCATCACTCAAGCTTCTAAGTCAAATTTCATTTTTGTTACCCTGTTTATTGTGGAACTATATATGATGAAATGAATGGAAAGAAAAGCCCAATTAGAAGCATAAATTTTCTATACAATAAATTTATATTTTATAGCCGAGAAATGGAGTTGTACGAAAAATTTGGCCGTGATCGACAATATTCACAAAATTGCACATTCAATTCACATAAAAAATGTGATATTTTCACTTCTCTATAGGCTTGTTTCAAGAAAGGAAACAAAATTATCATCTTTTCATGCTGAAAAATTCATCTGTACTCCAAACGATTAACGTACTTTTTCGCTATCCAGTTAGGTTCTCCACTTCTTCTCCTGTTACTTACTCGTCTCACTATGTTTTTAAGGGGGGATTCTCTCTAATTAGTTACTGTATTTTTATCTCCTTCTGTTATTTCATAAATATATATAAAACACGTGCTCTATTACAACTTTGGTGTTTTTTTTTCTTGTTCTCATTTAATAATTCATCATCGATTAATGTTTACTTTCATCTCCGCCGTTCTCATGTTAAATGCTTGAATATCCTCTAATAATATTGATTTTCTCTAGTAATTTCTCACTTAGTCAAAGTTTTCTCATCTTCTCTTCATTGGATTTCAGTGCAAAAACCAAACGTGGATTGATGTAAATGCAAAATAATACACTTCTTCATTGATAAATTTGCGCATTCGCTCAGTTGCACTTAATATCTTGATCTTATATTCCTAAATTGTTATCTCCACTGCATGTGATGCATATCTCACGTCTATTCTCACAATTATTATTAGTGTTTTCATATCTTCATCTCTTATTAATTGTTTGTCCTATAAAACCGTAGACAAAAAGTATCCTTTCCGGAATTATTTCAACACTTGGAGTGATATTTCCTAGTCTGTATTGATCTTTTTCAAATCTCTCTCATTGACATTGTATGAAATAATTTCAGAATAAGGAGCCCATCACCTAATTTTAATGTTAATTTCCTTTCTTGAGGGTTTTATTTTTTTCAATCTTTTATATTTTCTCTATAAAACGCCGCATTTCGTTATAAAGTTTTATGCTTGTTTTTTTCTCTTCTCTTCCTTTTTGGTAATTCATATATAATCAATATTTTTTTCATGTTGTTTCTCTCATAATATTTATTAGAAGGTTTCTTTTTCTCATTTTTCATTACTCCTACATTTATTACACTCTTTTTCACTACTCGTAAGCGTCAATTGTTTTTTTTTGGATTTTATTATAGTGTTTCGAATATTTTTAAATATAAAATTAAAGAATTGCACCATGATTAAAATAAAACGCCATTAACATGCTTCATAGCAATTAGTGTGATTGCAAAGGGAGTGAAGAGACTAATTGGCAAACTCATTTGAATACAAGAACTCTTGTGAATTATTAGTCGCAAAAGGGGTCGCAATTATTACATGATCTGCATTTTAGGTTACACAAAAATCTACATTCTCTTTCCAATATAATTTCCACCATTTTCTTTACTGACACAATCATTAATGTTTATTTTTCATTTTCACCTCTTTTTTTATCATTAAACACTCAATTATATTTGTTAATCATGTTTTTTTTTTTATTATTAGTCATTTTAATTAAATTCACCTACATTAATGTATTCTTTAGTGTTGAGTTTATGATTTTTTTTCGTTAAGTGGTGTTAATAGATTTATTAAAGAATTGGTGTGATATTTTGTCGCAAAGATTTCTTTCTCTTAATATTCTTTAAATGTAATTTGCATTTTCTTTTTTTTTTGGGGAGAAAAAAATCAAGAAAAGAAACATCAATTGTGGGTGTGATGTAAATATTTCTCTTCTGCAAATGTACATGATTTTTAAATTTACTTTTAAAAATCTTTATTTGGGTTTTTCAGTGCTGTTTATATCATCATATTTTTTTTATTAACAATAATTTCTCTCCTCTATTATTACAAATATTAAAATTACGGTTTTTTTTCCTTAAACATTTAGTGGAAGTAGAGGTTGCTTTTTTCGTACAATATTTCTGCTACTGTATTTCCTTATCCATCTTTATGTTGATTTCATATTTTCTGCATTTCTTCCTTATCCTCCATCTCAATTATTATTGTTCATGGAAATGTTGCTGTTACAACTTATTGTGGCAAATGATTCTGGACAAATTTGAAGTAACTCAAAACGCAGGAAGTGGTTTCTTTTCCGGGGAAACTGCTCGTTCAGGTCAGTTTGGAGTTGATTACAAAAGGGAAAGGAGATTTTGTGGATTTGTCTATGAAATGACCAAAATGCGTTTCAATGCAATTATTGGGCTTTTGGGTGCGCTTTTGCTTGGGAAATCCAGCAAAGAACTAAGGCTCAATTGCTTATGGCGAAAAAAGGGGTGAGATACTCTGCTGCTCCTCCTCCTGCTATACACTTTCACCATTGTTGGAGAAGCGATCGGCGCTGCAGAAGAGATCGTCTGGATCCTCTAACTCGTCATTGATGCAAATGTGAGGCGGCACGCTTGTGGGTGGAAGAGGCGCTGGTGGAATGGGCAGTGAACCGCTGTTGATGGCATGGAGGCTCCCGGACAAACTGCTGCCACCTTGCAGGTGACGCCGGCTGGAGCCGAGTCCTGCAATTGACAGTTCTACAGTAATTCTACTCCTGAATCCCCCGCCCAACTCGTCCTCTCCAGATCAGTGGTTTCCCGGCCACATTCGCGATAGCGTGCCAAATAATATCACTTAAAGGAAGCGAAAGTGAAAGTCCGGCCAGCTGAGGGGAAGCCACTGATCCAGAGACAGACACACTCACCTGTGGCACTGGTTGTTGAGTCGTAATGCGCGGCATTCCTATGCAGGCCCAAATGCGGAAGATGTCGACGTTTTCTTCTTCGATGACACAGCGTGCATAGGAGACAGATTAGGAACGAGCCTGCGGCTATGGACGTTATGATCAGGACGCCGTGATCCTCGTCTGGTGCCGCGAACATGCCTTTAAATGTTAAACAAAAGAGATTGAGGTACATTTGCCACCAAAGCCCGCCTTCTATAGTTTTCTTGTTATAGAGAACATGTGGGAAAAGTGGTGATTGCTCGTAATTTTCGCATCTTCTCAATCAAAATGTATCGTGTTATCGTGACTCTGTGCTCTGTGTCTCATGTCAAATTTGAGTGATATCTTCCATAGGAGTATTTGTTGGTGAGATAATGAATTAAAGAAAAATCACTGCGTTTACTGCATTCATCTTGCACTAACAGATATTATGTGCTCTCTTTTTTTGTGTGTTAATAAAATGAGATAAGACGTGAATATATTGACAATATTTCCTCTGTATGATTGCGATGACACTATGTGCAGAAATCATAGAAAATATTTAAGCGACGATCATGCTTTTCTACCCTAGAGATTGTTGTGCGAATTCTGTTCGTGTGTCTGCATTGTACGGTGTGGTGTTGATATGAGAATGTGGCGAGGAATTTTTGTGTACTTTCGGCAGAGATCAAAGTGCTTCACACTACACAATCTTCTTTCTTGGCTACTCAAGTGTGTGATATAAACTGTTTTATGATAATTAGAGAAGGAAATGGAAACTCACGTGTCAATAAAGAAACAGTTTTTCTCTCATCAAACTGGTCACTAGCATGCACAGTGGTTTATTTCATATTTATTTGGAATTCGTTTGCTGATGTGGGGAGGAGGACTTCAAATGATGGGTGGAAAATACGTTAAAATTCACCATAATCAATTTTCTTTTGGCAATCAAACTACTCTCGAGGCAGGGAAATAATTGGATTTTTGGGACTTTGGATTGAGCAAAGGGATGTTTTGTGTTGCTTTTCAACATGATGAACTTTCGCATTATTGGAAACTGCTTGACAAAAGTTACTTCATGGCAAAAGAGAGTTATGAGAAGGGAAAAATGTTGGATTTCTTTTGCATCTAAATCTCACAGCCAAATCATAGAAGTTTTGACAAAACACATAACAACAGAAAAAAAGAGAGTGAGAGAAGGAAATGTAAGATTTGTTGGTGAGCATGTTATTTCATCTGTCGCTGTATATTCGGGGGATGGCATTGTTAGAAAAGGAGTGCGGAGATTGAGACACTGGCCCACAACGTGAACACCAGGAGTTGATTTGGAGGCAATTGTACGCCACTTTCTCCACCTGGTCACGTCAAAGAGTAAGAAAGAGAAGAGAAAGAAAAGACGGAAATAAGTGTAAACTCAGAAGAAAGTCCATTTCGTGCTAATAGTTCAGCTTTTTCATGTCCTGAAATAATGATTTGCCTCTCTCTCTCTCTATATATTAACAAACTCCACAAGGGAGTTGAAAGCATACAAATTTGCAATTTTCATATCACATGACTTCTATTTCAGATGGAGCTAAAAATACAAAATTCTCCACATCATGCTTTACTTTCTCCTTTCTCACGAGAGAAAGCTTTCAATTTCAATCGATAGAGAGATAAAAGAAGAAAGATGTTCTCGAAATGGGGAAGATCAAAGGCTTCACGATATATTTTGATTTGCTCGTCACTAATATTATATCGATTCAGTTCAATTTTCAAGAGAATTAATTCTTATATGCTATATAGAAAATCCAGAGTTATGGCTTGATTTGGTGCTTAAAATCATCACAAAATTATTAATTATATTTTGCAATTGACACTCTGATTTCTTCCCCTTGCAAAAGAGTTTTCAGTATGGAAAATACATGTTCTGTCGTTAATCACAGTTGTGAAATAATAAGATTTTGCACAAGAGAAAGATGAAGAAGAGAAAGGGAGGAAACACTGAAAAAATATAAACGTGCTTCGTGCTGGCAAGAGTTCTTTCCATAAAACAAATATAGGTTTAGTACTTTGAAAAATTGGACGTCTGTTGTGATCATCTTTCACAGTTTCTTTATGGTTTCTGTCTAATCACCTATCATTTTTTTGGGTATAGAAATATCAATTTCATATATGTAAAATCCTTATCACTAAATTCGCATTCACTCATGAAATAACGCAAATTAAAAAAATTGGGTTATGCAAAAAACAAGGACATTGAAAAAAAGAACATTAATAATTACACAAAAAAAAGAGAGAATATGGTAAACTCAACTGTAAAATTGGAAATTAATATTCATAGAATTTGCCATTTAACTGAAAGTGTGGGTTGGGGACTTAACGTAAAGTACGAAAGAATAAAAAATGAACTGAACCGTTCGACTCACTCACGACTCACAATGCATTTCATCGGAATCATCGCCGGGTCCACAGTTCTTCACGCCGTCGCAGCGCAGCTTCTCTGCGATGCAATAGCTTGAATGCTCACACTGGAAGTGATATGTGGACTCGCACATGTTAGCTATGCTCGATGGTGGCCCTGGGCCAGTGTCTTGTACTTCAGTCCAAACAATTCGGAAGCCCTGCGAGAGAGGAGGAGCATTTAGAGCGTGTTAGGCAGGCAGAGTGGCTCCAATTACCTGTGCACCGATAGTCTTATCGGTGGTTGTGAAACTGACTCTTGCTGTTTGACCCTGGGAGGTGTAGTGCCACGGATCTGATCCCTTCTCGCCACAGATCTCTTGAGGGGCAGCATCGGATTCGGGGAAGGTCCACATGCGCACCACAGCAGCCGGACAACCGCGACCTGCAAGAGTTCCAGCGTGGAATCACGCGTCTTGGGCAATTTGCACAGAGTCACTCACCAGCGGGATCTCCTTCGACGGAGAAGATCTCAAAGTTGAGCAAAATCTTGTAGCCAATGCGTGCTGTGATGTACCAATTGCAGGCCCTGGAGGCCAAACCCTTGCCCGGTCCGTGGTAGTTTGCCGGAAAATTGGGCGACGTGATGACACCCGAATCGAGACCCGTGTAGTTTCCGCCGCAATCCCCGAAGACAGACTTGGCTGCCTCGAAAATGTAGCGCGCCTTGAAGCCACTCGCGACATTCTCCTGATCCGTGTGTAGGAAGACTCGAATGCCCACGGCACCACGTGGACTCTCCACTGGCCCAGGAGCCGTGAGACTGCAGTATCTGCCCAGGAAGCGGTCGCTGCCGTCGCGGTAAACCACGTACATCTCTAGCCAATCCTCGAGGCACACATTGATGCTGAAAGCACCAGAGAGTATCCCATACAAACTCAATTAGAAACTTTGCTGGGCACCACCATCTTCATATGTATGATAATTTTCTGGTTAGCAGCTCAAAGGCTCTCAAACTTTCACACAAATTGAAATTCAAATTGATACATTTCGATCATGAGTCGGGGGCAGATGATAAGCTTGAGAAGGTCCTCATTGAATCACTCAAGTGAATTATTGAGTGTCTAGGAATTCACGGGAATTAGCAGCAATTAAATTTTCCTCGTGAGGACATATTGAGGGAACTGACAAAGTTGCCAAGTCTTCGATAAACAGGGGATTTCTTGTGTAAATTTTGCAATTTCACAGCCATCTCGTCTACAAAATGAGAGGATAATTTTTGAGTAATGTATGCCATTGAATTAATATTGAATTTCTCATTAAAACAAACTCACTATACTATATGTATATTTAGTAATTGTCCAAAATTCGTGGAATTTTGCCTGAAAGTTTGGATGATGCAATAAAATACTGACTCTTGCTATTCCACCAAGGAAGAACAGAGCAAAATACCTCCGGTTATAAATCCGTTCGTATAGATTTTCACCACATTGAGCTTATTTTGCGAGCGAGTGTCTAATGAGGAAAAGCTCTCCCAGTGCCAAGGCAATGAAAGAACTGTGGCGCTGTTTTGTGCTCAGGAGAGCAAACCTTAATTTCACTTCCGGCAATATAGTGATGGGCCTTGGCTGGCGGTTCAATGATGCGGTGAAATTGCTTTTGGATGATGAGGCATCAGATGGCTTAGAGGGGGTTAATTATGGCGCGAAACTAATGCCAGTAAGAACGCGAACTTCATATTACTGCAAAATACGCTAAAGTTGCATGAGAAAACACATGGCTTATAGAGTTTTCCCACCCACAGAATCATTCTTCTTTGTTGGCACAGTGCAAACAAGTCAAATCAATTTCCAATTTTGCCTATTTTGGAAACACACAAAGTATATTTTGCACGATATCGTACTATCGTCGTGATGAAGGATCCTTTTCATGTTTCATCCTCCTCGCATTCGTTTGGTATCGCATGCAAAAATCATAAACGTGTGGCATTTGATGTATCTATCATATCGGTAATAGTCTTAAGGATTTAACCTGTTCGACGTCAGATCAATCAAGCAGATTACTCACCCATAAGCTCCTCCTGTAGTATTAGCGTTGTCTGCCTTCACTTTAAAGTTGTCGAATACGATGGTGACTTGCTCGTTGGGCGTAGCGAGGAAGAGATAGGAACAATTGGTTTCCGAGGGGTAATTTGAAGGGTAGCGCGGACTGTTGAATTCGCCCTTCTTGCGTGATGTGCTGCGATATGTGAAGCTGCATGTTCCATCAGGTGCTGCTGTTCCTGGAATCTTGTACTCCGTCTCAAAGGAGTACTTCGCCTTGAAGCCACGCCCCTGAAGCTCCCCAGAACTGAACACCATCACGAGGCGCGGTCCATCGCTCACGACCGGCGGCGGAATTTCGCTGCCGCAGAGCTCATGGTCGAACTTATCATAACTGTCTGTGGTCTCTTGGCCCTTCAGGTAAATCTTCAAGTATCCATCTGTGCAATTCGATCTGCAAGGCAGAGTGAGAATGGTCGGTGAGTCAAGAAATCAATTACATCTCTCGAGAGTGTATTGCATCCCTGGGGAACCCTATCGCCCTGTCGGGAATACCCTTCCAGATATAGTATTGCCAAAGACAAGAAAACTTCCGCCCCATCGACCATGATGTGACTAAAGTTGGTGAGGAGCCGAGAAAGTTTCATCTGACAAACAGTGCCTGGACTTTTGAAACAATTTATAAATTTTTAATTGCAATTTAGTAAAGTACTCTTCAACCATTCACGAGAATTCTTCTCACCTCGACATCCAGCCTCGTCCAAGACACCTCGTAAAATATCAAAGAAGTAATTTCCGAAGGAAACTTAGTAATTAGTTTGCCACCAACCCCGCCAAAGCTGCTCAAAATGGAAACTATTGCAGGGAGATATTGTGGATGAAAACCATTGTTCAATCATGCGGACACTCGCGATGCCCCACAAAATGATGGTCACCGTAATTTTCCAAATGCCCGCCCGGAGGCGACATCTTGAAAACACTTGGAGTCAATTAGGATTATTGCCACTATTGTATCAATTAATGGCAAATGAAATTGTTAGAAATAATCAAGTCCATCAACTGGGTCATTAGGCAAATGGATAATGGCAGTGCTTGAGAGTTTAAAACAAACACACCGCACGCCCGAGCGGTTCCTCCTCAAGACCACCACTCCACATGACCTTTCCCCATCATTCCTTCCGCCTCACGGGTGGCCCAAGGAATTGGAACAATTGAGAGCACGCACATGTGTAACGACGGCATCGTAAATTGAATGATTGGGTGGCGTGAAATGATTTCAATTGGCATTTGGCAATCAAACCAAATCATCCGGTGCCTCTCAGAGCACAAACATACATATAGTGTCTATTATTGCTTCCATTCCACCATCGTCAGCCGCATTTATGGCACTCTTGAAAATTTGTAATAACATTCCCACTCAGACACTTTTCAAACATTTCGGCAGTCGCAGTCACAGCGACTGAATAAACATTCTGTCTGGGCCACTCGCTAAGCATCCGGACTCTGCGATACGAATTCTTCCTTTAGGAAAACTTTAGCATTGCTGCCAGTTCGATTTGACTGTGGAACAGTTAATAGAGCTGATGTCTCAAAAGCTCTAGATACAATCGACATATAGTTACATATCAATGTCGAAATTAAAAGAAAGAAACTATTTCAGTCGTTATTTCACACTACACCTTCTGTTTCTCTTCACAAATGAGCTTAATCAGCTCAATACTACAAACTTTTGCGTCCAACTCTAACATTTTCACACTCAATTTGTGAGAAAATATCCACTCGAATTAATGTCCATGAAAATGAAGCAAATTTCACTGCCAAATGTCTGACAGACTGAATATTTTCGTCAACACAGGAAGTTTTCACAGTCATGATCATCCATCGCAGAAACAACAAGCGTTTCCGTCACACATTCTTCACACGCTGAGAATGCATCTCGAGAATTTCTATCCGAACTGTTTTCATTTTCGTTCCCTCTTTCTCTCTGAGGAAAGTGTGTCGAAAAGAGCTTTCTTGGCTGTGAGCGCAGACTTCAGTGATGGGATTCGCTCGTGAGGAGATCAAAGGCAGATACTTTTACACTTTTACGTGGTGATTTCAGCAATTTCTCATGAACAATAAACACAAATTATACTTTATGCTGTCGTTTTGCTCGTATCACGAATTGTTTTTCGAAATTCCTTCTCGGAAATTTCAATACACTCTGCTCTTCATTCGATACTCAATGGTATAAAACTTTGGAGATTAAGTGATGGTATTGAAATGGATGGAACATCAAAAGCAGCTCGCAATAGATATTTTACTTTCTACACTTTCTTTCATCCCCCAAAGCAACCAGAGAAAAATACTTACTCGCTCTTGTCTTTCTGCTCCACTTTCGGTATCTCAAATATGGAGAATTCGAGTTTAACTCGCTCCAAATTTTGTGCATCTTGCATACCATAAATGAAATATCTGCAAGAGTGAGGAAAAATATTAAGTACACTCGCGTCAGTGTTGCTGCTGAAATTAATTTATAGCCTGCAATTGCATCAATTAAATGTGGAAAATCACATTAGCAACAGAGACTTGAGAATCGAAAATGGGTGTAAAATTTGAGCCATTCCGACTATACATTTGCTGGCACAGCGCCAGACATTGCAAACCAATACAATTATTCAGGATGAGCAATTACTCTTTGGGGCACTTTATGGGGCCAATGGACACACAATTGCAGTGCCATACGTCTGGTTATGATGTAGCAGTAACTCACCTACAAACTACTTTCGGAATAAATGGGTATGGATAATTGGGCGAGTAGACAAACCCTGATGATTCCTTTCTCGACAGAATCTTCTGATCACACTCTGACCCGCGAATGTGTTCACCATCGTTTTCACCTGTGGGCGAGACATCAAATGATTTCGCACATTAGCAGCAATCAGAAAAACACACACACACCCTTTCGCTAAACGACAGGGAGTGACCCAGTTAATTACTCACGTATAAAATCTAATTTAACAAAACTTTCGCTAAATTCGAAAATTCCTTTGAAGCCACGATTCTGTGTATTGGCCGTTCGTTGGAGTGTGTAGAAATGCACAAAGAGATTCGATTCACTAGAATACAGCACGAGATTCCTCTGCTGGCCACAGTAAGTGCCCACAAGAGCTGAAGTGTTGTCTATGCCGTCGTACACTTTCACAAAATCAAATGGACAACTGCAAGGGAAAACAAGCAGAGAAGAGCAATAAATATATTTATCTAGGAATTATATCAAACTGCTGGCGAAGGAAGTAATTTTGGGATCTAATTGGAGATTGAATTTAGAGCACATTTATTGACTTTCCTTTTTATTGCCAGCATAAGCAAATATCTTCCTTATGCTTTCACATTTTTCAGTATGCAATTTCAATAGAAATTTGTGACGTTTATCTCAGCTTGCTCCATTAAATCTCCATGCAACAGGAGGGGCGAAAGGGAAGTTTTCATGGTGTTCAATGCAGTGGAAGTGATTGAATGTGCGAACTTACTGTGGTCCACCGAAGAAGAGATCAAAATCACGAAACTCCAGTCGCACACGCTGATTGTGTTTACCGATAAATTGATAAGTGCAAGACATATCTTTGGGATAGGCACCTGGATAAGTGGGTGAAATTATCGATCCTGTACGATTCTGGGAAATGTTGACGATGTACGAGCAGGGGGATCCAATGACAGGCTGACCGACTTCGAATTCCGCTGGTGAAGAGGAAAAGTTCACATCACATTTGATTTGATTTTTGTATTAGAAACTTCTTGCAGCATCATGCGAAGCAATTTCAGGCGGAGATAATGTTAGCAAATGCGACAGGGAGAAATGACTGGAAAACTTACATTCATTGATGAAACTGTAGCGACCCCCGAACACATCCGGAGTGGTCATGTTCTTACTGGTAAAAAACGATAAAGCTATAGCACGATACAGCGAAATGCGGCGACGAGGCGGGATGGGACCACAGAAGCGACCGCCGAAGGGAGAGTTGATCAAATCAGCTGGATCCGATGACTGCACCTCCGCATACACGTCCATATACTCGGAGCCGCAGCTGCAAGCACGGAAGAGGTGGAGATAAAGTTGCCCAGTCTGTTTTCCAACCGCACACCATTGTAGGATGCAACAAAAAAGCCACCCCGACTGTCCCACCGAGGGAATTAGACACTCACACCATCAGATAATTTCAATTCATATTCCATTTTCCTCTCATTGCATTCCACTCACTCCACCATCGCCGCGCGAATGCAATCTGATGCGAATGAGGAAATAAATACAATTAAAAATCATCAGAAGAGCCCAACTCTCTGTGGTCTGGCGCGGGATTTTCATACTATTTTTTTTTTTGCAATCTAGGTACTCCACGCGAGATGAGTATTGTAATTGATTTCAATCGAGATACCGCATTGTCGCTGTTTTCCACTGAATATCTCTCCATTGCATTGCAGATACGCAGTCAATTAGCCCAATGCATTTCAACCCCGGTTTTGGTATTTGCGGTGTATTCTGAGAAATTTCTCATCTGCATCAGATTGAAAAACATCACCTTGAAGTATTAAAGTTCAGGTTAGAATAGAGTGATTTACCGCAGAAAGTAGATGATGTAATAAATCATTTTAAAGGTACAAACTGATAAATTGATATTACAAGAAAGCTTTTTATAACTCATTTTATATAAATGTCATTGCATAATAAACATCTACTCTTTTTTTCAGACAAAAAAATGATGTAATTTTAAAGGATATCATTTCACTTAATGTTGCTTGAATATCTTTACCATTTATCTTATTCTTCACGAGAAATTCTCCTCTCATACTCATTCTCAGGCAGAATTACAGAAACGAAAAAGAAGCAAAAAGAAGAGAGAGAGAAAAAGCTCCCACTTTAGATATTTGTACCTCCATTTCACCTCCATTTGTGATAATGTACAGTGGTTGTGAATGTAAATTTGAATGTACAAACATTTTGTCATTAGAGGCCTTTGTTGTGGTTTTAACTACGTCGGGGAGAATTTCTTATGCATACCCATTTCACTTTGAGGGTGGTTCTCCTCCGTTGCACGCGAATTCTGTTCCACCGAGTGGAAAAAGCCCAGTATCCCTTCGGCGATGCACTTAGCAACTCTGGCACTTCAGAGCTTTTGTGAATAGGACTTAATTTCTGCCATAACAAATTTAATTCACACATTGAAACGATGTTGCCGAAGAGAGAGAGTGTGGATAATAGAAATTCTGATGGTGTTGCGCTATTACACTTTAAGACTAACTTTAAAAATGGGGTTGTCGAAAATCCACCCAGCTATTTAAGCTTTCAGTACACGCGCCAACCAACCAACCCTTGAGCTTCTTCACCCACAACACCAACGGAAGAGAACAATGCAGAAATACTTACGCTGGTAACTCTCCGACGGCGGCCCCACTGGAAGATGCGAAAAAGGCATAATTAGTAATTAATTTTAAAATTCACTTCAAGAGCTAAACGAGATGAGGGAAGTCCTTATTGAGTGCAGGACAAAAGCTCGCTTTTTGCATTCACGACTCGTGGAAGTTGAGATAACTTTTTGCCCGTACAATCGATTGCCTTCAGGTGAAAAAAGCCAGCTCGTGTCTGCGTTTATGTGTTCTCCCGGTAATGGAGTCATCGGATGATTAATGCTCCTTCAGGCTCTTCTCTCAATACACCCAGACGCCTTTCACCTTTTCCATCTTCAGCTCCATTTGAGCCAAATCATTTATTCCCCACGCCAGGCAAACGGAGCATAACTTTTAACCACTGGCGTATGATCAAATATGAAATTTAATTACCACATATGCCGATTACTTATTAATGAACTCTGTGGTCAGCGTCAAATTGTGACTAACCATTCACGTCAAGCGCCAGAGAAAAACCCAGTGATCTGCTCGTGATGGCTTAATTTTAGAGGTTCCACATTGGTTTTTCACCCCATAATGAGCCTCTGTCTCTCCCCATTCCACCTCAATTACTTTTAATGCCTCAGCACCAAATAGATTGCGTGCTGGGTGGTATTTATTAATTATGCGACATTAATTATAGGTGGTATCAGCACTTTTTATCCACCCCCATTTTCGCCTGCCTAATCATTTGGTATTTCCGCGGGATCGGAAGGGGAAAGGTACTCTCCGCCCCCCGCCCAGGAGCTTCTCTCTGGCCACAATTTCATATTTCCTGCCTGTGTTGAGAGTTTAATTCCATTCACGAGTCAGACGGTAATCGAAATTTTAATCCTCAAATGGAAAATCCACAACCGCACTTTCTAATCACGACAATTGCCTGGCACTTCGGCACAAGATATGGCAAAAGGAAATGAGAGAAAGCGAAGGGTCTTCTTACTCTGGTGGGTTTCCCCGCAAATTGAATGACGTGAAAACTACTTCGACACGCTGTCCAGGACCCGCTAAGAAGATGTAGAGACACTGTCTAGAATGATTCGTGGGATTGATGAGCATTGGTGCAGTAAATGTTCCATTAGTCGGTCCTCCTGAACGCGAGACATAAGTTTGATCACATTCTGCAAGAGAAGAGACAAGAATATGTCAGTTTCAGTGTCATCTTCAATGTTTTTCTGTTTACTACATTTACGATAAATTATGTCAAAATTACTGGATAACTTGGTGAGGATAGTAAACGCACATTTTAATATTGCAGTTCATCTGTGGGTGAAAGGCATAATGTTTACGATTCCTCGTGCAGAATCGTAAAACTAACTACGGCGTGCTGTACATAATGCCATTCAAAAACTGTGTCAAATATGCTCTCAAGAGCAGTGACACGAAATTTGTGGAAGAAAGTGCCCCACAATGGGATGCTGGATTGTAATTAAAGATGAAATCCTTTAGGTGGGATCTCTACCATGGTTTCATTTACGACAATAAGCTACTAATCTCTATTATTACTTAAGATACAGACATTAATTACTCATGGGTGTAATTGTTTTCCCATGAGGTAGAGCCTCGTATCTACTTGCAAATGGTAAAAGAACACCGAGTAACTTCTTGACATGCACAAAGAGAGTAAATCCCACACTTTGAGAAACTGTCAGACATAATTTTAAAAAATATACAATAAAAGCGAGGAATCTCTTCAGCGACTTTTTTTTCTTGAAATGGATATTCATTAAATGTTAATTAAAAACAATCTCGAGCATCGCAAGTTCTCTCAAAGTGACTGACTTCTCAAGTTACTTCCTCTATCCCGTAGAGAAAGCTCATGAAGTCAACCAATGAATTCAGAGCGAAAAGATGTCGAGAGAAGACTGGAGAAAAAATAATGACGTCGCTGGCGGAAAAAACCAAATCAAAATATTCACACAATCTATTTTCGACACAGAACTCATCTACAGACATATTTATTGACAGAATATCGCAGTGATAGTATAGAGGGAGTGCTGAGGCGAAAAAAATCAACTATGAAAGAAAATAAACACAGCAGTGGGTGTCGTGGAAACATACTACAAGATTTTGCATCATGGCTTCAAATCTGCGCCTTTCAAAAATACAATAGAAGAGAAAACATACTTGGTGCCTTGGGTCTCGGCAGAGGCTCCAAATACGCCACGACTGGTATCCAAGGTTGGGGATTTGGATTGGGACCCCCGACTACAGAAGCGTCGGAATCGGACGCCACTGCCGAGACAATAGAATAGTTTATCACAAATCGCATCCCGTCTCCTTTATGGATATTTTAATGAATTCCTAAAGTTGTAGCTACAATCGTGAGACGATATGTAGTTGATATGTATAGAGAACAAGGGGAAAGTCACTTGCAACTTTGTGATTATTCCATAATTTTTTTGATTTTTCCTGATTTTTATTCAAATTTTGATTATTGCAAAAAAAATTCAATGATTTTTTGAAAGTCGTCTTTTTTCTGAATATTTAATCAAAATTTAAGTTTATTTAAATATTTTGCCAAAAATATTCAATTTTTAGTAAAAGAATTATTTTTTGAATCCTTTAATAGAAAATTTTGATTCTTTGATTTGCTTGTGATCATAAGGATCCCTCAAAAATCGGCTAGTGACTTTCCCCTTGATGCAGAATGAACATTGTGAGACATATGACATCGTGTCGACATCCATCGCCTCTGGACTACAGCTACAACCCTGTTGATGTCAAATTTCTACCACATAGTTTAATTTAAATAATAGTTGAATATATCACACTACAACGTGGAAAAATGAACTGCACAAAAAGATCAGAAGAGAGGATGAGGAGTGATTAAATGTGAATCCCAAAATAATCCGCAGGAAAATAGCAATTGACGACATGAAAATTGATGTGAGTGCTGCTGTAAAAATGTGTTTCATATTTTGGGTGGAAAATAATTGAAAATGAGGTAAAATGTCTGCACAACAGGATGTACCATGAATGTGTGCATTCTGTAGATAATCCCTCACACTGCATAACTGATATTCGATTGGCTTCCCCGTGAAAATCAATTTTGGACACGAAATTTTCACTTCATTAAAGTATCATGCACACGATGATGGATATCCCTCCACGGCTACATTGACGGGAGGTAATTGCTTTATTAGCTAATATTTTATAAGGGTGGCATTGGAAATTGCAGAAATTACAGCGACAATTTCTATCCCTGAGAGCCTTTCTATCCACAGTATTTCGTCAAACAACATTCTGTATACATAGGCAGAGAGACTCTGAGCGAATTTCATCTCTTTTGCATATAAATAGAATTTTTTAATAAAAATTCCAACATATAGCGCCGAGTGTAGAGGATGATCGCGTCACAATCAATTTTTCGTATAATATTAATGGAGTAATAAATCTCGAATAGAGAGTGTTGATTTTCATGTGATCTTCCTTTATTTGTTCACATGGCTCCTGAAAATTCCAAACACAAATCTTAGGGAAAATTCATCGCAGAATTTTCCTTTGCCACACCACAGTGGAGTGAGAGATGAGGAAGGTCTCGCAGGGTTAATCTCTATGTAATATTTCGGGATCAGCTAATGCACGGATAATCGCAATTCTCAGGGTAATATGCGAATATGAGAGGGATTCCAGGCGCTCCGCGTCGAATCGATTAATTTTTCAATTAAGCCATCCACCCCTCACCAATTCACCGCCCAATCAATATCACTGCTCCACCTCATCGTGGTCAATTCGTACCTTTAATCAATTGAGACACCCAACATTTCAATTTGGACGGCAAAACTAGAGCGAGGCCTCGTGTGCAAATAAATAACTGTCAGAAGATTTTCTGAATTCTTCTCCTCCAGCAAAAATAGCCGCCGTCTTCCACTCAGAGTCACCTCAAACCCCCCTCAATTCGCTGGACTTCCACCCTTTGTTCAATATTTGGAGAAATATCGATATTGTCACTATTAATTGTGGTCGAGCAACAGAAAACAGACGGGCGGAATGAAAGTAATTTCCCAAATCTCTTCGTGATTTATTCCGCACCGTGAGTCGGGTTATGTGCTGCTAAAGTACAAATATATACGTCCCAGAAAATGTGGAATTATTGTAGCATCTGGTGTGACTCATGCTGTGTAAATCAAAGTGGAAAGAATCAATCTATTGCGTGTGCATTAAATGAAATTTTAGCTGTCACCAACATCAAATGTCACACAACGAGCGTGATTATAAGGACAAATGAAAGGAGTGAATTTAATATCAGTCAAAACTATTATTATAAACTTGCGAAGCGAGTGAAATATGTCGTAATTGGTGAATTCTGCATATATCTTCCAACAGAAGCAATACTGAACTTCAAAACCATCCCAACCACTCCTCAGAATGTGTGTGATATGTCGAGTGCATCTCATAAGTCATGCGGAATGTACGATATTGCAGCCATCTCTCACACTCCTGTTCGTCAATGGTGCTGCCAAATGTTTGCGATTAATTTGTCCGTCCATCTCATTCAGAGTACAGTCGAGAACAAATCTACATGTGGTTCGTAGACGCACATATGTATGAACGTATGTACGAACAAAGTGCATAGAGAATTTCATGACAAGTCATGACTCCGGAAACTTTTATTCACATCCTCGCTTTAATACAGAAATCAATTGTAAGTCAATTGAAATCTCACATTTCTCATTTCGAGTTCCAGAGGAAACTTGAATTCCTTTCCTCAACGTTGCTTCGTGAACTTTCTGCGAAGTCTTTTTGTATAAATGTTGTGATGGCGATAATTTCTCTCCAGAAACTTGTTATCTCTATATTTTAACCGGAGTTTTAAACAAAGTGATGTGATATTCATTATATTAGCCGAAGTTTAAACATTTAACAGCAATAATAGCTAGTGACATCATTAAAGTATAAATTCAATCGTGTGTTTCGGAACAAATTCATTTCACTTCTCATGAGATCAAAATTGACCCCAAAACCACAATGAGTTTAACGATTGAACTTCTGCGGGAACAAGGATGGTCAATTCTTACTCTAATAACACGAGATGAGTGCTAATTTACACAAACTCATCTCATCAATGTATATAAGAAAGATAAATTATTCCCTGCGGAAATCCACAAGTCTGGCCATGCGAATGAACTGCCGAATCATTTGCACCGCCGACAAATGTGCACACAGAGAGAGAAATTAATGAAACGATCATTTCACCTGAGCCTTGGATCCTATGAAAGTCCGTCTTTGTCGGGGAACAAAGGTGGAGAGAGCCTCCCATGTTCACTGGTGCAGATATGCAGAGGATTAGTCCATATATGTACGTATGTACGGCAGGAAGCGGGACAGCTCATGAGAAGTGAGCGCCACAGAGCCACTCAAATGTGCATACAAGGCGATATGGGCGGTACAGAGAGTTCATTCGTTTGAAGAGCTTAAATCTCATACCACAGTCCTCATCTGGAGATAGTCGCTGTGGCATGGGTGGCTATATGCAGAGTGGATGAGGAGTGTTTCAAGTGAAGCTCCCACACCGACCAAGTACCCAATATCTCCGTAGTCTTTCGCTCATTTCACCCGTTGCTAGGGCATGGTCGAGAGTCCCCAAAGAATTGCTCTCAAGACGGTCACATGGCAGACCATTTTGAAGTATAGCGCCAGGAATAAAGTCGTGAAGCACTTGCGATATGACACAGAATCCCACAAAATAATCCGAATGCGATACTAAATGGATTCCCTGTTCACCCTTGAACTGTGAAGACATAAAAATGCTCTATTGGCCCTTTTTCCACCACCCGAAAATCCACGGCGCTGAGTGGAAATTTTGTCAATCAAAAGGATTGGCAGTCGACAGTGATTTGTGTCGGTGGGAAATTGTGAGTAATAAAACCACCTTTCGGCTTTATTTCTCATACGTCTCCCCGAGATGCCGAAAATCCGCCCTCCTATGGAAGAAATTCTATTAAAACGTCTCTAAATCTCACCAGTCGAGTGGGTGGAATTGGGTGAATGTGTACGGGCGAGAAAAAATTGACGAAAATTTAGTATACAAGAAAATCTACTTTGTCCCGTGCTTTTCTTAACCCACACGAAGGGCCACTCATTAAAGCTCCTCGGGCGGTGCATGGTTCTTTCCGCCTCAGAGAGTGTCGTAAAGTTAATCTATATATGAAGGTGAACGGAGACTTAGACATTGTCAAAATATGAACTCAGAGTTGAGATAATTATGAATAATGAGAAAAGACTATTAATTTTTTTTGTTTGAAGCCTTAAGCGCTGTGGAACTTTCAGGAAAGTAAGCAATATATTGTCTGATGGAGTAATATATAGGGATCACTGTTTGTCGCAGGAAAAACAAGAAGTTAGTGCTGTAGCAAAAAAAAGACCTTTCATATTTCAATTAACTCAGTGGACGTTCATTAGAACGTGCCAAAAACTTTGGTAATAAATTTAATTAAATTTTCGTATATGGGAGAGGAAAAATCAGAAACAGATCCAATTTAGAGTTCACCAACCATGAATCCTCACTCGAGTACACAACTTTAATGGGAGTTTGCATTATATACCCAACACTGATGAAGGTATTTTATTATGTAAATAAAAATAAACTCTCCACTTCACACCCTTAATCATCGATATGTATGTTTAATCTCGCCAAGCATCCACTTGAACTTCAATGAGAGTGTACTCAGAACCGAATTAAATCACCCCAAACATTCCCAAACCACCGTCGAGTGCAATTATTTTCTACGTTCTTCGCACACTCTGCAACCGTGGTAATCGACATGGGTAAGAATTTTGCCAATGTTGACCTACATTTGGCAGAAAAACCGGGATGTGGAGAGAGAGAGAGGGAAAAAGTTTCATTCTTTTCACTCGTCGTATACTTTGTGTTTGTACTCCGCTCGTCCAATCTCATGCACTCTTAGAGCTGAGAAAACTGTACATAAAATATTGCACGACCTTTGTACGACAATATAGCATATTTGGCGTACATGGCAGTTGACTACCAACACCGGAGCTGTGCATGTGGGATGGATGGTGTATGAAATGAGATGTCCCACTTTTTTAGCCCACCTCCAACACAATGCCATTACTTTAATTCGCTCCTGTACCTCCTGTGCAACCGCCACGTCCCTCTGGATGATTTTCCAGTGGTTGGTAAATAAGGACTGCACACGAGAGGAAATTTTCAACGCCGGAAAAGTCCTCTGATCACAGAATAACACTCAGGTGTTCGCAAATGAGACATC